CTGAGTCTGGAAGCTTGATGAGTGATGGATAGTGGTGCTTAAAAATACTATTCGATGTGAAAAGGTCTACTCTGTGAAGAATTCTTGTGGCTCCCTGGACTAAACCCAAAAATCCCTCCATCGAGGAACTTTACTAGCAACTTAAGGGAAAGAATTGGGGGCACGAAATGGAGATACGGCGATTGACAGGGGGAAAAAACAAGAGGATTCGTAAGTCCTACTTTTTCGACCCCTCGGTCAAGAAGGGATCGTGGTCAGGGGCTGGACAGCAGGGACGACGAAGTTGACGATCAAGAAGACGAAATGGAAACCCAGAAACGATAAAGAAGAAAGAGACGCTGTGGAAACTCCTGTGGAAACCCCAACGCATTCTCGTGCTACCAGACAAAGGAGTCGCTCGGGGATCGTACGAGACAAAAAGGGAAGGTAAGAATATTTTTGTAACGAATGGTATTAATACCGACAGATGGGGAAAAGACACATGTGCACATCGGGTTCTTTATTGAGACGTTTCGCCATCCAGTGGTTTTATCAATACAAATTCTAGGACATAACTTAAGACAGTAAACATGTACAGAAGTGAGGAATCAGTCCCTCAACCTAGGAGTAGGTGAAAACGCACCAAACTAGGTGCTGTTTGACCAACCCTAGGTTGGGGGACTGATTACCTCATTTTGACACAGTTTACTGCTTAAGTTATGCCTAGTTTTTGTATTTTTTAAAGCCATGGATGGCGAAACGTTACAATAAAGATACCCAGATGTTCAAGGTCATACTTCCAAGAATATTGTTTTTGGGGGAATGCCAGGTTAGAACTGGATAGGGCTTCTGTTGAAGGCGGATGGGGAGAAAGGGGGGTTTATGCTTTTCCTGGGGCTGGGAGGAGGACTTGTTAGCGGGCTTACAACATCAGAACGGTAATGGGATAAATCCTATTATTTGCCTCGTGCTGGAGGCAATATGTAGGAAAGCGTAAAAGTGGGATTTATTTAAAAAGTTCGGGGACCATAGACATTTTTAGGAAGAAGGGGGGGCGCCCTTTATATGTGGGATTTTCCCCAAGAAGAGGTTTGGTAATGAATGGTTGTCCAGAGCAATTGGATTAAATTTTTTGGCGGGGAAAACACAAGGAAAATCATCCCTTTCATTGACAACTGGGACAACTTCTATGCCGAAACGACATGTATCCAGGGATGGGTTCACTTATCCAGGGAGGTTGGGTTTTTTTGCTAATATTTAAGGGGGTTTGTTAGGACTTTAAAACTGGGATTAGTTAAGGTATGGGTTTTAGAAATAAAATAATGAGTATGGATATATTGACTTAGCTCTGATATTAAGAACTTAATAGTAACTTTTTGGAGAACCGGGTAATGAAAATTTCAAAAATTTGGGTTTTAAACAAGTAATAGGAAAAAATGTGCAAAGAAAAAACATATGATGGATTTTTCAACATCGAAGTCAAAAAAAAAAAAATTTTTTTTAAAACGTTTTTGGGGCAGTGCTGGGGGCTTTAAGAAAATAAGACCTAAAAACATAGGAACACGAAAGGCCACTGGCCCTACGAGGCAGGTCCTTTTCAAAACGACTCTACCTAAAACACCAAGAAATAACTCCCGTTTTAGTAAGACCAAGCAACAGTTAGGGACTTTTTTTGAAACGTTTCGCCTCACAGAGGGTTTTCAGTCAAGTACAAAAAGGATAGAAGCAGAAGATACTTGAAGACGATGTAATCAGTCCTCACCCCTTTAAAATTTTGAGGGGTCAGTCCCTCATCAGGAGAAGAGCATTGTTCCCCTATATGAAACAATATGGAGATGAAGTGACGGGATGGAGCTTTTTTTAGCGAAGAGGGGAACGTAGGCCCCAGGAAGGTAAGAACTCGATGTTGAAGGCAGGGCCCTCTCAAATCCACCGCTCTCACTAGGGAAGTTGTCGAAGTTGATTGCAGGTCTTACCCCGTAAACCCCTTTGTGCAGTTCTCAGATTTACATTAAAATGATATAAAATACCGACGGTTTTTAGGTAAACACTTTGGTAAGACTGAAGAAGCCACTGTGTAGCGAAAACGTTTCATAATAAAGATACCAAAACTGTTGCTATGTGTCTTAACAACAACCTGTGGGTTTTTTATCCCATTTTAATGTTAAATAACTCCCGACCCCTTGCCCCAATAAACCCAGCCCCTCCCACTCTTTTAATTTTGTCCAGTCCTTCAAAAGCTCCCCAAGGCCCTCCTTTTTAAACCCCACTGGGAAGACTGCACGCATCTACAACTCTGTTAAAAAAACCAGTATTACCTATGTTTTCAAATCAAAATTTTACCCAACAAAACCCATTTTCCGGGTTTTACCGGGTTTCGACACCCTCAGACTTTTTTAATGTCTCCCTTGTTTATGCCCGCATCCATTAACACTTAAATGTACACCTCATTCACGCCTCTCCAGAGAGTGGAGTTTTAAGGCTTTAATTTATCTTCATACGGAGTTCCTTACACATAAATCTTTTTAGCATCTTCTCTGTATGTTCCTTGAGTCTAGTCCATCCTGTAGAAAGGGGCCCCAAAAAACTGAGGCAAAATCTAAAGGGGCCTCCTAGTGATGTATAAGCTGTAAAAAAAATTTTTGGATTTGTTACTTATACTTCTTGAGAAAACCAAGAATCGTTGGCCCTTTGTTGCGCACACAAGGGCATGCTGTCTTGGTTTAGTTTTTGCTTACCATACTCCCAAGTTTTTTTCACATTCTGTATGACCAAGCTCTATTTCACCTAATTAAAGCTTCGGGGGAAATTTTCATTCCCAAAGGGAAAGTCCTTTACACTTATCCAATTAAATTTTCATCTGCCATTTTTTTCAGACCAAGACATTTTTTGTTCAAACGCCCGGGGAGTTTCATTGATATCCCCCCGGGGAAATTTTAGGCCCATCTTTTTTATCACAAACACTTTATAT